CAGCCGGGAATCGAACCCCGAACTACATGAGGCGTGGTTGACGAGCATTCCACAGCTGTGCCATCCACGTACTCAGTAACATATGCATTGTCTTCAAATGAAAACAAGCATTACACACAACTCAAATGTTTTATATTGAAGTGTGGAGAGATAACAGACCTTGAAGCTAACAGCGCTAACTGGTATTATTTGAAGTCACGTCATTGGCTTGGAAGTGAATTCAAACAGTGAATATAATACAATAAATAATTACAAGTTAAAAAGCAAAAGATTGAGCAGAGAATATCATTTACGGTAATTTCCTCTTCTGGTTCTATAGTTATATATATATATATATATATATATATAGTATATTGACCAGTTGATGGAGGTTTTCTATATACATTTCTTCTTATTGTACCATCCTTTTTTCTAGTCATAAGGACGTCTAGGAATGATTTACTGGAGTTTTTTTCCTTTGTCGATGGTAAAATTTATTGCAGGCTGAACATCGTTAAATTTGTCCAGGATGTTCTTTGCTTCACCATCATTTTTAGTAATCAAAAAATGTATTATCCATGTAACGACAGCAGAATTCGAGTTCATGAATAACATCCTTCAAAGGCCCATTTTCTAGTTTCCCAAGGAAAATGTCGACTAAAAATGGTCCTAGTGATGTTTCCATAAGTAGTACATTGGTGAACAAGGAGGATACGTCAAATGATATCATGAATTTATTGTCAACACTTAAATCTTTTATCCTTTCAATACATTCAAACTCATTTTTTACGCTGTATTTCACCAATTCAGTATGTAGTGGCTATAAGAGTTCGACTAATCATTTGGCCAGGAGATGGTATGATGAATTTAACATATCTAATACAAGTTATGGGGAAAATATGATCAGTTATAGAGATATTATCTATAAAAATAAAACTACTTACAAAACATCATGAATTAAATCTTGTCTAGTGCCTTGACATGTGTACACCGTTTGTAGTCCTGTACAATTAAGCGGAACATTCGGTTGACACACATCCCAAAAATGCGGTCTCAATCGACCCAGGTTATACTTTGTAAGTGTTGTCAAGAAGACACAAACTCCGTGTGACACAAGAGAAGCAATACAGAAGTCATAAATAAATGGCAGTGACTAAAAATAGGATAATCCAATGTTAGTATATTGGTAAAGTTAAAAAAATGAAGAGAAAGGAATTTTATTTTATCAATTGATAAAACTCACACTTTTCATTGAATAACTCCTTTCGGTTTTTTTTCTAAATATTGCTGTGCCTATTTCCACTAGGACAATCTTTAGAAATCGAATGAAAATGAAAGATTTTACATCGACTAACTTACTATAACAATCGGCGTTAGATAACCATATAGGCATACTGCTAGAGAGGATACAGTATTGCCTTTGTACGGATATTTAATGCTCCAATCATCACAAAAGAAACTCCATTTACGACTACCGAAAAACTTAATCAGAAAATACACTGCGTGAACTGGTATTTAAAATACACTGATGAAAGTTTATCTAACAACTTACGCAGAATAATAGTCAGTAAATCAGAAGTAGCGCGAAGAAATAAAGGAACATTCAGCTTTGACCTGCTACACAGTGGAACACACGCCATCGACAAAATATTGCGAGTTTCAGCCAACCAATCTCTCTTATCTACAAAGACAGAATTATGTATGCGTTGACATAACAGTAATTTTACGTTATTACAACAGAAAGTATTATTATATAATAACTAAAGAACATTACTCACTCCACCAGTGAAAGCAACAAAACACCTTTTCAAAATATAACTAGTTTTAGTGCGATATTATTTAGCAGAAAGTGGCTTAGTACTTTATAAGCTCTCATCGATTAGTGCAAACAATGAAAACAGTAACAAAATACCAATCTTGCTTCTAACCTAGCGAATAACTTTGAAGGAGAAAAGATTATCTTGGAAGGTGTATCCGTCTAAGCTGTCACTCTTCATAAGGCTTTAGAAGAACAACACCGCTAAGAAACGGTGACTCACGTGAAGCCTAAACAGACGCATAACCAGTGGATTAAATGAGACCCTTTCAGGAGAAACCCTATACATATATGTCAGTATTTAAAAGTAATGATAAAATAATGAAACTCTACCAAGCACTAATATAACCAGAAAATCCTTAACTCAAGGACGGTAAAGTTAAAATATAGTGGCTACGCCTGTACATGAACTTCGGCAACCATTTAGAGTAACCGGTGGTATAACTAAGTCAAAGTAAACATCTGACAGACGAGTTCCAGGAAGGCCAAGTGTCCGTAATTACTGTGATTACTGTAAAGCCTCGAAACAGATTGTTCTGTCACATCGGATGTCCTTTCATAATCCTAAGCAAACTAGTCATCCTATCAAGCATACCCTAAAAACGAATATCTCGGTAGCTCAAGTTACTCTACTATTCACACAGTAATCGTACACCTAAATTTCCCGGAACTCGCTAAGCAAATGCATAATAGGCTGTATAATTTGAACAACCTGTTAGTTTGACTGATTATCAAAGATCCTTGACATGGGTAGCAGCCCTACAGACAGCCGTTTAGAATTAAAGGAGGAGGAGGAAAATTAGTAGGTTTGTTGGCGAAACGTATATATAAACGTACACTGCCTAGTTTACATAGAAAAATCATGACTTCAGCCTAACCTAACTGCACTACGTCAGGGTTGTATGCCTATTCACACAGCTAAGACTAACTTGAAAACTAGAAAATCACACCTGGAGCAAACTATGAGTGAAAAACCTGCAGCTTTTATTATTAACGTCCGTTAATAACATGACCATGGTCACCAGGTTATTCTGAAGGTTCCTGGTGTTGACCCCTATTCCACAAACTTGTTCGCTTCAACTAAGTGATAGGAAATTCTGTTATAAACACCACAAAAATTATCTGATAGCCCTACAAGGAAAAAAACAAAGCACCTACCGGAATCTAAACACCTCTAGGTCAAATGTCGTGCACAGCGCCAAACCTTCGGAAACAACTGGACTAGTAGCACATTGGTTAATTCAAAGATCGCTGTCTCTTTCAGAAGAATGTTTGCTATTTACTCTATAATGAATTGAAAATGACTGAAAAGGAGAATGACTCTAAATGTACACTTATGTATACTTACTGTTTCGATGACTTAACTACTTGTTCGCATAACCCTGGCTAATGGCTGGCTCTAAATCTTCTTTTCAAAATACTCCGCTGAATTATTTTTTCTATTCCCTACCCACTGAAATCTAAGCTCCCATTCATGTGTTTCATAAATGATCACACAATATGCCAGTATAGATGGTACACTAATTGATGTGAATAGTTTTTCGTAATTGTGTGAAATAGGTGATAGCACTACTAAACGACGTAAATCCGGTACTGAAGGCTGCTCGCAAACTCACTTCCGATATCATCAGGTAGGCCGAAATGACAGATTAACTGTTCTGCTTAAAATCTTCTACCACGTTTAGAATACACCCGGCTGACTGACTACAGCTACTCGAGTATGTTGTTTTGCCTCAAATCAAATCAGTTTATTCAGGGAGTAGTGTTAAAACTCAACTAGTGAATCAAAATTACCCTCCCTCCAATTGATTGAGGTGGTAAGTGTTGAACTGCTATTTCCGGAGTAGTATTTCAGGAAACATGATTGGCAAGTGGTCTTCAAGTCACGTAGCAACATGGGCCATCAACAAAATCGCCAAGTCTTTTTTTATTTTTTTTTAGTCTTTCTATTGAGGAAGATATCCCGTTTCCCTCCTATCTCCATAGCTCTCACTCAGTCATCTCACGCTGCATATTTCTCAAGGAGACCCAGGTACTTTTAATTCCTACAGTGAACTAGGCGTAACTGCACAACTACAGTCCAAGAAGTTGGAAATTTAATTGTGATGTAACGTAGGAGAAATCAAGGACCTGATTCGATTACATCATTAAACATCACGCAGGCAAAATAATTTCCATGGTGAACACATTTGCAGAATGCTGCCAACGAGACATAGGTAATGGTGTCAGGTCAAACCACGTAATTCTCTTCTTCTTTTAAGGTGATAAAGCTGCTTCCATCTAAGCATTTGAATTATGGATTGATTGCCAAAACATTTTAGTGACTTAGGGGAAATCAACCCACAGCTGCAACCTACAGAGCATTTCACCTCATGAAATCTCACCCAGTGAATTAACACTTCGGTGTTCTATGTGGACTGAATTTGCGCACAAAAGCTGTCGCTCCCAAGGTAAAAATCTCATTTAGTGTCTGGACGGCGATGTCGTTTGGAGGACGCATTAGAGCGCATGATAGTATAATAGAACAACAACATTTATGGCGTCAAGAAGCGAGATAAACTCACACTCAAATCTAGTACCACAGTGAGGGAGTGTTTGCACTCAATTCCAGTATACGGCCTCTAACTGTAAAGTGACCGCGAAATTGAAAGATACATTATTCCGGTTCTTCAGTGAAAAACACGTTCATTGATCATGAAATTGGAGGACTCGTCCAGACATTTCAGTAACTTAATGGTTGGTGATTAATTGCACTGCTTTGATGTACTCATCGGCTGCCCTTCAACTGCCAGGGTGAAACCTTTATGACGAACTGCCTAATTTGAAAGCTAAAGGTTCACACAGATCTCACCTGCGGCGCAGTGTTATAATGGTATAGGTCACTCGCTTCTTTTTCTTCCACCATATATCTGCAGTTATTAATAATAATAGTAATGTATTTCATATAAATTTACAAATTTACATGAAAATGCGTGCCATTTTTACAGGCACGATCAAGTATATATCTGAAGCCAGAGCACATATGATATTCAGCTATATATTAACTTAACACTTTAGTAAGAATAACACCAAATACTACTACACTCGAAAGCACACTTGAAGTATCTGGTGTGAAAACGATGCTGGCGGCAGCAAATCACCAACTTAGTGCATCCATCCATAAGACCAGTTTTCGAGGGAACCAGAGTCACTTGGTCGGAAAATCATGGCAGAATCTAAATACTTCAGGTAACTTCTAAGATACTCCTGAAAGTGGTCCGAGTACCTGCTGGTCAGCAGACATGGTAGTGTTCACAAATGTGAATTGCTCCGATCTGCAGGACAGCAACATGCATTTTTTGACAGCTCGAGAAATAAAACATTAGTCTAGACCCCCAACAATAAAACAAAAATAATAAGGGTTGAACAGATCTAAATTATAAATAAAAAAGTGCTCCTGCTCCTACCATCTACAAGCCTGTCCAGCTTCTTGTCAAGATGCCCCACTGGGCCCTACAGAAATTCGTCAGACATCTTACAGGCCAGCCTGCCCTATGGGTTCTAATTTTCCAAATCTCGGAATTCACTCCTCACTGAAATATCACCGACCTACCTTATGATGATCTTTTTATTTACGCACTATTATACTCTACTTTATGTTAACTGCCTAGGCCATTATTAAAGCTAAAACTTGCTCTTTGTTCATATTTGTTGCTTGATCAAAATCTGCTTGCTTTGATTAAGAACACAACAACACCAATGTTTGAACAAAGCTATATCTTCATCGAAAACATCATTGTTTCCGTGCTTAGACCAATATGGTTAGCTTTAGACATTGCAAATGTATCCTATCATTTCAAGTACTATATAGCTTCTCCTCCTTTACTTATCTTTTTATTAATAATCATTTGCTTTATTCCAGAAACAGTACTAGTGGTACAGTGTGTAATTTTCAGCACACATCTACAATATTCGCATCCGATTTTATCAAACATTTAAAAGGAGTATTTCAAAAAATAAATATAAAGACAACAACAACAAAAAAACAAAAAAATCACAAAAATAGTTTTGTTCTAAATGCGAAAAAATACCAAGAAGTAGAAAGGAAAATAAACAACATAATGAATAATATCTCAGTGTTGGGTCATGGAAACTATGATATGATTGTGCATGGTGACAGTAAAGCTGTAGTCATACAAGAAGTTATGAAATGATGTTTAATAACGTTTATCACCAAGATGATCAGTTAATTTGGTTGAAACAACACTAATAATTTAGGTAGCTATGTATGTTTAAGAAGGAGTTCACCATAGAATACAAAATAAGAGAGAAGTAAAAGAGCCTAAAATTATGTTATTAACAATAAAGCAAGTCATAGTGTGGTGAGAGCTGTCTACTAGCCAAATTGGTAGACAGCAATTTACGTCGATATTTACGTTCCCAAGATTTGTCGTGAGAAAATGTGAACAAAGATTGATTCAAAACCGACCACAGCAGACTTTGCGTAGGCGGATGCAGTTAACATATAGAGGATTTGACATTCAAGAAACAGTCACAAATAGATGAAAGATTACCTTTACGTGAGAAACAACCACCAATCGGAAGACTGTGTTTGTTTGCTTAAATATCCAAAGTAATGTACATGAAAATATATAAATATGTGTTGATTTCCTTAATAAATGATCTGTTGCCTGGCCCTTGTCTTCTGTTGTTACAACAGGTTTCGCGTTTAACATTGTCTCTGTCGCTTAGATCACGGGCCAAATATGGTTTCGTTGAGTTCCTGTACTTGGTTATAAGAGCATAAATTATTTTATACTGATTTCTCGTCCTACTTGATGAGATACAAGGCGAGAGTTGGGAATAGAGGGGGTGTTCAGGGTCGGAGAGTATGGTTTTACACCATTTTTCGCATGTATTCAGATTCCTTTGAACTTATGTAGTGACGAGCTGACTGAGTTTTACACCACTAGTCCTACTGACTACCTTCAACATCCTTCTCAGGATGGCATAGTCCTTTATCAGTAGACCAAGGAAGACTCGCGGGGAGCAGTAAAGTAGAATAGGTAAGATACAAGAGTTGACAAATTGTGAAAGTAGAGGTTGGGTGATTCCAGATTGTCTAAGTTTCTCAATGTAGTAGGTAAGACAGAACACTTTCTTAGAAATCGTTAGGATATGAGATGTCCAAGTAAGGTCAGAAGACAGAACTAGACCGAGGTATTTTGCACTAGGCTTAGTTTCAATTTTAGTCCCCTCAATGCAACAGGCTTCATGAGAACTTACTAGTGTTTGTAGATCTCGTTTATGCCTAAGGGCGAAGTCAATAGTCTGGCATTTTGAGGGATTCAGCATGAGGCCATTTAGTATAGACCATTGACTGATGTCCGACAGGAAGCTATTTAATCTGAAACAGTCTGACAGAGGCTTAATGGGAAACGATACAGACAGGTCATCTGCATATTTGACGAAGTTGATTTCGTCTGAAATAGGTAAATCATGTAAGTAGAAGGAAAAGAGAAACGGAGAGAGAACAGCACCCTGAGGAACTCCAGCTTCAGTAAGTAAAGGTGAGGAAGATACACCATTATATACCGTGTACTGCATCCTATTAGAGAAGTAAGAGTGTAGCCATTTGATAGCCCAGGGCTCAGTTTGTATAAGGCTAAGTTTGTTTAACAATAGGCTCCTAGGTACAGAGTCGAAAGCAAATATATAATCAAGGAACGTACAACGGACATACTTGGCCCCTTTGTCTAAGGAGGATACAATGTTGTGATGAAACACAGAAGCAGCGTCCAAAGTACTTCTACCCTGTTTGTAAGCAAACTGCTTTTGGTCGTTTGAGAAACTTCGGGAGGGAACAAGTTTTAGTAACAATAATTTCTCCATTAGTTTCAAAAAAGGGGAGGTAATAGCGATAGGTCTAAACTTAGCATTATTACCAGAACCTGACTTGGGTACAGCGATGATTTTAATATCTTTCCACAGAGAAGGTACAACATTATTAGAAAAAGAAGTGTCAAAAATGTTTGTAAGTGGGTTACTTAAAATATCAGCACATTTCCTTAGGACAGTGGCAGGTATACCATCAGGGCCTAGACTCTGGGAAGGTTTAAGAGATTTTAAACATTTAAGAACATCAGAAGGTTTAAAACTATTAAAGTCACTGGTCATGTTATTTGTTACATTGAAGCTAAAAGGGTATATTAGGAGGGCGGATAAAAGAGTATTTATATCAATAGAGGGGGCAAAGCCTGTAATTTCTTTAAAAAGCTTTCACATGTTCCCAGGAGTTTTACATGACAAAATTCTTTGATTATAAATATTGTTTAGCCTCTTGATTTCGGATTTAATTTGGAAGTTTATCCTCCTAAGACCAGCTTTATCCTTAGGCTTGTACAGTCTCTGTTTTCCTCTTCGAAGCTTTTTGAGATGAAGGGAAGAGAAATGGTCTATTCTTTTGAAAAGTATCTGTTTTGGACAGCATACATCAAGGTAGAATTTAGGAAAGTCAGTCAAGTTGGAAATAGTATCATCCAGTGTGTGTTCAGTGAAAAGATCCCAGTCTGTGTCATTGAACATACGTCTTAGTTTGAGCACGTTTTCTTGTGAGTAACATCTTTGTTGTGTTTTTCTGGAGAGATTCAAGAGGATATTAGAGTGATATCTGCTATATATCTTGGGTAATATCCGAATAATACAATGATCAGAGTTCATTAAAGGAGTACGTTTGCGTGCTTCATATATTTCCGCATCATTAGTAAATACCAGATCCAGCGTTTTATCAAGTCGATTTGGAAATTTGACAATATTGACATGACCTAATGATTCAAGAAAAGAACAGTCACAGGTATTGAAATCTCCTGTGACAACTGATAAAGAGTTTTCAAGATGTGTAACAGCGAATGCTGTGAATTCATCGGCAAAATCAGATAGATCCGAGGCAGAACAGCCAGGAGTAACATAAATGTTTGAGATGAAGACGTATTTAAACTTGGATAAGTGTTTCGAGCGACTTTTGACTGTAATACAATCAATAAAGTCACTGGAGAAAGAAAAACATACATTATTTGATGTTGACCACTGAGAATGAATGAAGGTTGCCACTCCACCACCTCTTGCATACTTGAATATACTTGAATACTGTGCCCACTTATACAGTAGCTTTAAATCAGCAGACAGAAAAAAGTTGAAAGTGTCCAAAGATCCCTGACGAAACGCATATTAGGCCGTGATCAGCAAATAGAATACCTTGACAGATGTATTCGACTGGACTTAGAACCCTTATGGTTAAGGAGAGTTCGATCCCCTGCCGACGCACACCCGATGTCTATGGTCGGCCTGCAAAATTTGGGCTACCGATATCACATGCTGAAAATTCCATACTTGTACTGAAAATACGGTGTGGCATCAAGCTGTAATCAAAATAAAAAGATAATAAAAAGTTTCTCTTATTCAAAGTTATAAGAAAGCACCGTAACAGTAACTCATCCATAACGTGGGCTAATCTTAAATCGTATGAACTACGCAACCATGACTACCTTCTCAAGGTTAACACCAATAAAGTCACCACTAGAGCTAACTTTTTCACCATTAAATATTGCAAACTTTGGAACCAGCTACCCTCTGAGATTAGATCCTGTGAAAAGCCTGACAGTTTTAAAAGGAGCCTAGAAAGACATATTAACATGTCCACCCTAACCGTCTAAAAGATGACAACTGCTGGTATAGTGGTGAGACAATGACATTTCAATATTTAACTATGGAAAGCACACTGGTCCCAATACTAATATAATAATACTTAGTAATTATGCATAATCAATTCTTGAAATTTAATTGTCATTACAATACTGAAAATGATTAAAATATTTATGCAGCAAATGTTCTCTTGCTGTACCACGCTTGTTTCCCTTATAACACTCAATTACTGAGCTTAATGTATTTTTTGATGATACGAATTATAATATTGATTACACTGTTATCATACATAGTTTGATTTACTTTACGACTCCCTGTATGACTAACTACGCTCCTTCAGTATACACAAACTGCAGTACTGTTAACCAAATGTTAAAATTCTGTTGGTTCTGTATAATATCTTTTTATAATATGTGTAGACAGGCTACTTTGCAATGTAAAATGTTTACTATATAATAGACTTTCATGATAATTTAGTACAATAAGTCCTGCCAACCGACCTTACCTTCAGTTCATACTACCTACATTGAACTCTAACTATAGTGTTC